AAAAAAAAAAAAAAAAACAACACAAATCAACTCCTCCATTCTCTAAAACTTGGGTAATGCCCTACGAACCTATCGGTACCCAAGGTGATTAGTCCCAATGTTTTCAAAATCAGACCGGTCATTGAACCGTTTTTAGGTCCGGTTTCCGGTTTGGCCGGTTCAACCGATTGAACCGGTGAACCGGCCGGTCCAAACAATAAGGAAGGTTTGATGAGAGGAGCAAGTTGTAGGCATGGATTTTTTAATTTGGTGTTGATAATTTTGTAATTTTGTTAAAGTTAAAGGTTAAAACGGGTATAAGAAAGGAATGAGAAGGGTGAAATTGAAAAAAATTGAAAGAAGATTGCATGAGAAATTGAACCGGTAGTTTTTCTGGTTCCACCGGTTCTACCGGTTCTACCGGTTTTTACCGGTTTTTACTGGTTTTCACCGATTTTTACCGGTTTTGACCGGTTTTGACCGGTTTTGACTTCAAACGGTTTTCTTATGTGAATCGAACCATTTTCATCACCGAATACCGGTCCAACCGGTTCAACCGGCCGGTCCGGTCTGGTTTTAAAAACCTTGATTAGTCCTTATAGTTTTTTATTCTTTCTTTTTAAGTGAAAATTTTTTAATTTTAATTGTTGGTCTTTTAATTTTTAATTTTTAAATTATTAAATACCTAAATTTTTAAATATGAAATCTTAAACTCTAAAAAAATCTAAATCCTAACACATTAAGGCCAAATTTGAAAAAAATTCAAACCTTAACATCATAAAATATAGAATCCAAAAATCTAAATTTTGGAACCATAAAATATATAAATCAAGCAATTTAAACCCAAATGCCTTAAATACTAAATCTTAGAAAAATTTAAATACTAACCATAACACATTAATCACAAAACTCTAAAATTTTTAAATCCTAACAAGATTAGTTTAAATTAGTTCAACTACAAAAAGTAAGGGGACTAAAATGGAGCTAAATTGTTAAAAATAGAGACTAAATATCAAATTTACCCTTAAAAAAGGAAATCTATGGGACGCGGCATGTGCCACATCAACATCGGCCTTTTGTCGGCCTGCCAGGGGTCGGTCCCCTAACATTTTTCGGAGCTTTAATAGTGGGTCAACAATTTGTTTTTTCCCAATCACGTATATAATACACAAAAAATTGTTATAGTTCAGATTTTAAAATAAAACTCTCTATAATATATAAACTACATTATATAAATAATTTATAAATAAATTAATTCGTTTTACTA